TTTTTCTCTCTCTCTCTCTCTCTCTCTCTCTCTCTCTCTCTCTCTCTCTCTCTCTGTCTCTCCCTCTCTCTCTCTCTTTAATCCATTATGTCTGCTCCCCGTTAGCCTCAGTGAACATGAGATGTACGTTATCAGTTGTTGTAAGGAGTGTGTTTGGAAATCCTCAACTGTTGCTATTCAGAAGTGGAGCAACATCATCATAACATTATCTCGACATAAATTCCATCTCTTATCTCATTAACATGTCTATTGGGAAACATTATTTAGTATTCATATGAGACAGATACAAATGCTATGATGAGATTCCACCACACACATTCCACACCTCATACTTCATGTTTGCAAATACTGATAGTGACGAGAGAGAGAGTGAAAATATGTGTGTAATGCACTGTAAAATTAACACATCGCAGGCACATCGAGTGTATTCCTGGTGTCCAGACTGTCTGGTGTCAGTCAGAGTATTACTACATACTAGACACACACATACACTGACGCCACAGTTTCTAGCTGTTGTCTGTCATGGATCCATATTAAGGACTATGTCTCCATTTGATACACAACAAACATGTTTAAAACAGAATATCCTCTATATCTGTCACTCTGAATAAATATAACCTGTACTAGTCATATAACTGCTAAATAAAAATACATGGTTGCTAAACAGTTTAGGCACTTTAGCATGTGGTATTGGGCATTAAACAACAAGCCAGTGCATGCTAATAAATTAGCTTGCAAATACACAAGATATAATTTAAGCATCTATTTACTGTATGTACAGGTGCATCTCAATAAATTAGAATGTCGTGGAAAAGTTCATTTATTTCAGTAATTCAACTCAAATTGTGAAATTCGTGTATTAAATAAATTCAATGCACACAGACTGAAGTAGTTTAAGTATTTGGTTCTTTTAATTGTGATGATTTTGGCTCACATTTAACAAAAACCCACCAATTAATGAATTGATTCTGAGATTATTAAGAATAGCTTGATGTGTTTTACAGGTGAAAGTGTCCTTCTTCAGAACACAGATCAGTGGAGATCTTCATCATGAATACAGGTAAGTCCATTATTAAAACACTTGTGTAATTTTTAGCCACTAATGCAACAAAACCGTTATTGTGTGTTTTTAATCAAATTATGTGTAAACATTGTAACACTTAGTGTCAAGAAAGACATGCAGTAAGTGCTTCTGGTTCGTCCATCACAATAAAAGGTCAAACTAAATGCATTGCATTGTGGGATATGCTATAATATTCTACACAGTAATCTCTGTTTTGCTCATGCTCATTTTGAAAAATAATATTATTGGTCCATTATTGGTGGATATTAATATCCAAAATCAGGCTCCACATATGTTAAATAAAATGTCTTCACATCATGCCTGGTCTGGTTTATAATCTCTCATCTTTTCCAGAATGCTGCACAAGTTGTATGCTTTCTGTAAAGCAAGATTAACCTTTAATTGCTGTAACACAATATCATTCAAAAGTTTAGGGTTAGTAAGATTATAATTGTTTTTTAAAGAAGTCTCTTATGTTCAACAATTACAGTAATTTGATCAAAAATACAGTAAGAAGTGAATTTTATTACAATTAAAATTAACTGTTTTCTGTTTTGATATATTTTAAAATTTTATTTATTCCTACAATTGCAAAGCTTAATTATTCCAGTCTTTAGTGTCACATGATCCTTCAGAAAGTTTTCTTATATGCTGATTTGGTGCTCAAGTAACCATTTTATCACTGTTTAAAAGAGAAATTGATCATTTAAAATATTTTTTAACATTCTAAATTTTTATTTTTTTTTGCATTGTCTTTGGTGCAATAATGTTGCATTAACAATGCATGTGCTTTGCTTTCTGTTTGTTTTGCATGTGTGCTTCTGCGTGTGCGTGTGCAAACAAACATAGATAGCGGAGGACATGCTCATAAAAGAGCATCCCTGTCGCTCACTCTCTGGCCTGTGAAGAGGGTCCAGAGCGCACCCAACCTGTACACTGCTGCAGGTATCAGTGATGGAGCAGGGCTGTCTAAGACACAGCTCTTTAAAATAGACTTTTTAGAATGTGTTATCTCCTTTTGCTTACTGTTGTTTCATCTGCCTTAGTATTTAAATGCGTTTTCTCCCCGGTGTTCTATTTGTGTTATGTGTGCTTGTTTTACATGTGTTCACTACATCTGTTGTGTTCCATATTTTTCTTGCTACATTTGTCTATTTTTTTCTTTTTTTATGTCCTTAGATCTTAGGAGATAAGAACAGAGGTATTAGATTTAGGATCTTCCATGTTGTCAATATATATATGTTAATATTTTAAAGACCAAATACATGTTGCCTATTTAATATGTTTTACTTTCTATTATACATACAGATTTACACAAATGTTTCACATCTGTAAATGTTTAACATCTTTAAATTAAGCCTATCAATAAATTAAGTTAAGTTAATTTAAATTAAGTTAATTTCGGGTGGTTATAGCTTAAAGGGGTCATATGATGTTGCTAAAAAGAACATTATTTTGTGTATTTGGTGTAATGAAATGTGTTTATGTGGTTTAAGGTTCAAAAAACACATTACTTTCCATGCAAATTTTCCCACAACGTGACGTATACATGTGGGGGTGTGTTAGAAAGAGCAGTTTTAGGTAGGCGTGGTTGACTCTTAACATTTATAAAGAATATGCACATGGTCTAAATGGGTTGTCCCTATTCTCTTAATGAGTATTGTAATGGGTGTTTTTTGGGCATAACGTGCAATAAACCAATCAGAGTGTCGTCTCCCATTCCCTTTAAAAGCCAGTTGTGCTCATGCCATGGCGGGTTCGCTATTTACATGGCGGAATGTAATTTTTCATTTTTAAAAATGTTTGTGTGCTGCTGCATGTCACTGTGTTTGTAATAAGCAAAGTGTACGCACGTTGTGCACCCGCCTATAGGCGCATATTACTAAAGCGCTCTTTAAATAACAAACAAAAAATATTGCGCCAGACTTTAGACCAAGTTTTTGTTGGTCAATGGCGCAGTCTATTTCAGTTGCCTCAAAATAGCAACGCGCCTGAACACACCTCGTTTTTCAGACCAGCACGCGCATAAATGGGCACAAATGCATTTGCTATTGCCACTAGGTGCCACTTTTGGAGTGGTAAAAATAGAGGTTTCCATGGTAACACTTTACTTATGCACTATTCCATGACGTTTTGTAGTATAAATAGTGCGGTTTTCCAATTGAATGTAATCTAATATGCCTTCTGAATTAAAAAATAATGCTCAGTCTGCAGTCAGCTATATTGAATACTATGTGTTGTATGCTGAGACTTATTTTAATTAAATCAATAAAACCATTTACCCTTTCAAAAAACACACACACACACACACGCACACTCAAGGAGATTTTAATGTAAAAATAAAAAGACTAGCTGCCATTTTTCTGTGCTGATAGTTACAAGGATCCAGGCATTTTCACTGTTATATTCTGCTGGTTGAGTGAGTTAGTGACATGAAAAAGTGACATGCTGTCAAGACCTGGCAGAGATATGACAACACGTCTTTAATTTTTTAAAAGCTGCTGGCCACAGACAGGCAGTCAAGCATTCATTCACAGATGCACAGTTGTACTCTTTTAATGCTGAATTGTTTAAGGCATGGACAGATTTGACGAAATGCAGCAGATGTTTAAACAGCAACATGGAGACCATGCTCTTCACTTTTACTTGTAATAGCCCATACAATGCTACAACCGCTATCATTAGGACAGCATGTGTTCATGTATATTTTGCAATATACAGGACCAGAATTAATTGTTGTAAAATCTATTAGTTTGTGTTCAAAATTTAAACTTGTGTTCTTCCAATCTTCGAGTTTACATATTGTAGTTTTAATCATCATTATGAGAGTAGTAGGTGTTTCAAACTTTGTGTGGTCTTATACTAGCGGTCTCTTTCTTTCTCTGTGTTCACTAGCAGCTTCTGCTCTGTAATCTTCTTGTTCTCTGTAATTCTGCATCTCTCTTTTCATTCCCATATTGTGGACATTATGCACCAATGGCAGGGCCATCTCACATGGTGTAATAAGCAAGATAAGACATAACTAAAGAAAAAACTGCTTAGTTAACAGCTTAGTAGTTCAAAATATAGGCATAGCATAGAAGTATTATAAAGAAAACCTGATCCATGTTCTCCCTTAGTTTCAATGGGTATGACCTTTCTGCATGTTTTGTGTCTTTTGTCATATGTTTGTCTTGCTTTTCTGTGGTTATTCTATGGTGTTATCATGGTAAATGCATTTTTATGTTTATTTTAATGCATCTTTACTTTCCACAGGTAGTGATTCCCAGTCATCAGATTCAGGCAAGTGTTTGTTGGATGTATATGTGCGTCTGTCTTCATTATTGTGTTTATATAAATATTCATGTGTACTATACAGTGGACACATGAAGTATTTGGGCACTTAGAAGGCATTTTACTACATAAAAAAGCATTTTAGTATTTTGTAAATATGTTTATAGTAGTTATTAATATTTTGAAGTAGCTTTTTTATATTTTCAGTTTGTCGATTTTTGTTAAAGTTTTAGTGATTTAGTATTGTGCTTTTGTCATTTTTATTAGATTTTTTAAACGAATATACATATTTAGCTATATATGTCTGTGTGTATGTGTGTGTGTGTGTGTGTGTGTGTGTGTGTGGGGTGGGTGTTTATTTATTTATTTATTTATTGTATTTGTGTGTAGATGCCTGGCGTTCACGCAGTGTGTCTGAGGGGTTAAGGAATGGAGATGCCAGCAGCGCGTCCTTGACTGCTAAAGGCTTCCGCAGCGTTAAACCCAACCTACAGGATAAGAAATCTCCCACACCGGTACACATTCATTCATAATACTTTTAAAAAAAAATAAGCTGTTACTGCATTCCTGCTTCTTGATCATACTGCTGTTAGATTTTGCACCCTATTCATTTTATTTTCACAACAAACAATCCTCTACTTTCATATTATGTGCTACTTTGAAA